ATATAGGGATTATAGATAAAACTTGAGAATACAAATGCTAATGCTCTCACTTTTAAATTATAAAATTACTTTTTTGTTTTTATTCTGAGGAGAGGAAGAGTCCACATTTCTAGGATACTAAATACAAAAACAAAAAGTAGTGCCGCCCAAAAATGCCATCAGAATGGAGAAGGGAGCCCTCCAATGGGCTCTCATGGCCAAGGAGGAGGTGGGAATTGAACTAAACTCTGAAGAGAGAGAAGGAGTCAGGAAAAGATTGGGTTTGTAGTTGGGTATTGGCAAGTGTGACTGTCTTTCTCTTACCTCATGGAGATATGGCAGTGTGTTCTCCATTGAAGGATCAGTGTGAGTGCAGAGGAGGCAGCTCTGAAGCCATTGGCGTGAAGACCATGGCGTTTCCTTGGACCTGCTAGAGCAGCCCATCAAAGTTTCTTCAGTGCCCAACTGAGAAATCTAAAGAAGTGTCATTTACTAGCAGCCTGCTGGCTCCCAGATGCTGCTCACTACTACAAGTGTAATTCTGATTAAAGCAAGGAATTAGAGCCCAAATAAGATGGGTAGTTTATATTATAAGTTTCATACTTGAACGTCTCTATAGTTAAAACTTCTTAATAGCAATAAACACCAGGTTTTAGTTTTCAACAGCATGTAGAGCTAGTATTCCAGTATTCTCAATATTTTTGTAGCTTCTCTTTTTACTTTGATATTTTGCTTATTTTTAAAGTCAATCATCATCTTTAAGTTCTTAAACCAGGCAAAGCAGAATGTCAGTCCAAGAGGGGACTCAGTTTTATGTTCATTCCACACATGTTTGTTGAATTTCAACTATGCCACTAGCACTGGAGGTCTTATGCCCCATAGATAAGGGGGAGCTACTATATATGCAAAAGTGGGGAAAACACTACCTTGAAAAGATACCTGCATCCCCATGTGTGCAGCAGTATTATTTACAATAGCCAATACATGGAAGCAACCTAAGTATTCACTGATGGTGAATAGTTACAGAAGTTGTGATATTGATATATATGCAATTGGGCTATTATTATTCAGCCATAAAAACTATTTGCAACAACATGGATGGGCCTTGAGTGTATTGTGTTAAGTAAAACAAGTCAGACAAAGAAAGATAAACACTGTGTGAGCTCACTACATGTGGAATCTTAAAAACAAAACTAAGCCCAATAGAGAAAGAGAGCAGACTTGTAGTTATCAGAGGCAGGGAGTAGGAGGAGGGGAAATTGGGGAAGCTGGTCAAAAGGTACACACTTCCGGTTATAAGATAAATAAGTCCTGGTGATGTTATGTACAGCATGGTGACTATAGTTAACTGCTGTATGGCATATGGGAAAGTTAAGAGAGTAACTTCTGAGTTGTCATCACAAGGAGATTTTTTTTTCTTCTTTCTTTTCTCTTTATTGTACCATTATGAGAAGATGGATATTAGCTGAACCTACTATGGTAACCATTTCACAATATATGTAAATCTAAACATTATGCTATATACCTTGAACTTGTACAAGGATGTATAGCAATTATTTCTTAATAAAACAAAAAAATAATTTAAAAATATTTCTCTGCAATTTTACAAAAGCTTCCTCCAAAATGTGTGTTCAATATAAAATGTTTAAAATATTTTCTTTCTTATTAGAGGCCTGATGCACGAATTTGGGGGCGGGGCCAGCCAGGGAGAGGGAGCTTGGGTCCTTGTCAGGACAGCCCTGCCCCCTGGTCAAACTCCCGGTCAAGGTCAAGGGGACAATTTGCATATTACATTTTTATTATATAGGATTTATTTACAATGATTTTGAAAACTCTACTTTTAAATTATTTCTTGCTAATGCATCCTACTTGAACAATAGAATTGACTGAACATTCTGAGCGCCAAATGAACAGCCTTTATACAAAGTGTTTAATGTGGTACATTTATAAGATGAAAGTGTCTCGAAAAGAGTAATTCAAAATAAATAGAATAAATAATACCTGTTGTATGAATTGAAAGATGAGAGATGGAGGAGGGACAAACTTGGGAAAACTTTTGCACTGAAGATAGAACTTGAGATAGATGCTAAATAATAGATGGATGTGGTAGAAGTTAAAAGGGTATTTCATGTTGGGAACAGACTCTTGGCGAAGGTGCATTTGGCTGAAATGGAGGCTTCTTGTGGAAGACTAAAGGAGATATTGACAAATCAGGGCGGGACCAAATTATAAGTGTTTTCCAATGTCATATTAAGGAGTTTTGTTGATTTTCTTTCATAAATAATGGAGAGGTATGAAAGTTTTGAAAGACTATAATGAGTTTGATGGAGTAGTTTTAGATATTGCCCCCTGTGAGAGGAATTTGGAGGCAAGTAGATCATTTATTATCATATGTGTATGAGATGCCGGGGACCTCAGTTAATGTCGTAGGAATGTCAAACAAGGGAGTTGAAACAAATGCTTCAGATGCAGTGCTGTAGCCTTGATGCAGTTAAGGAGTAAAGGAAGATCTTCCAGGCAAAGCTGGGGCTATGAGGGCCGAGCCCCTTGCACGAATTTTGTGCATTAAGCCTCTAGTAATCAATATAAAAGCATTAATGAGATGGTTGACATGTTTTTCTCATATTGAGTCTTTGAAGCCTGGTGTGTATTTAACATCGAGAGCATATTCCAGTGTAGCTACAGTTCAGGTGCTCGGTAGTCACCTGTGGCTGGTGGCTACCACATTGGACAGTGTGCTATTCGACAGTTTAATAAAACTAATTTATATAGCAGATGTCTCAAATAAGCTGGTGCTAAGACTCACTGTATTGGAAATTATAATTTTTGCTTATCCTTTATCACTTCTATTCCTTTTGTTTATTTAAGCTTTTTCATATTTAAAATGTTCTTTTAGCCAAGTATCATTTTCCCCCAAAGCACCAAGAATTTTAGAAATATTCATGACATACCATTTCATTTCTCATTTAATTCTCCCTTTGACAAACAACTTTAATAAAACAAATCAGACTGAGTCTCTTTGTTCTTCCTTTGTCAATCTTAAAACTCTTGATTATGAAAGAATTGAACAATACATCTTCAAAACCCTAGGATAAATGACATTTCACTTGGAAATGAAACTGCAGTACATTTTTCATGTTCCCCTGTCTGTCTGTATATTTCTCCAGTGTTGAATATTGACATCAACTTGCTGGATTTTTTGTTGTTGCTATATGCTAAAGAATGAAGTTCAAAGGGAGCTTCCTTCTATAGAAAACATGCCAAGGACATTGTGTTCCATCTTCACAATGAAATGCAGATTTCCATTAAAAGGCAAATCCATCATTTCAAAAGGTTGACTAGGATGGTGCATTAAAAAAATCCAGCTGCTTAAATTTAGGGCATTGAAAAACGGCTAAAAAAATTTCCCTGGGTCTCAAACATTTTCATTTAATTATGGATTTCATAGATTTTCATTTAGTCTATGATCTTGTGTTTCAAACACATATTTCACTTATTTAAATGACGTATGTTGCCGTTAAAGAATATCCTTGAATTTGTTAATGTAGTATTAATTTTTGCACAAGAAATATTGGAATCTTCTCACAGTGCTTTGCTTTTTCATGATTGTTCTAGGCTTCCTTCACTCCCATTTAGTTTCTTTGTTATTTTTTGTGGGTTTTTTAAATCTTCTTTGCGGACGTTGTCTGCCAGGACAGCCATTGTGTTCTTCAACCAACTTGCCTTCAGCTTCTTCAGTCACCTAGTTCTCTCTGCCACACCACTTAAATGTGCTCTGCCAACTGTTGTCTGAGTGATTTAGGAGTAAGAAGTGGCAGAGAGAGTGTTACTCCTGATGACTCTGTGGGTGTGGAGACACGGTCCCCACCTGCTGGTCTGGGAGCACAGATGAGGTCTGCTCTCCACTGCTGAGCCAGCCACATATCCTCAAGGACGTGCTGTAGGGGCCGAAGGAACAGCAAAAAAAAAGGGCTTATGTCAGACATGACTCTACAGTGTATGTATTCTCCACAGGAAATACATTAATAGTTGTTTATTAAAAGTCATGGCTAAGTCTCCATGCCCCCCTCTTCCAGAGGCTAGTCCAGCTTTCCCTCAGGACCAGCACCAGAGCTATGTCAGGGCTCAAATGCCCCAGGGATACATCCTGACTAGGTTTCCTAGATTGAGTGTTTGGCTCTCCTATTATCCTTGGCTGGTGTCTATTTAAGCATTTGATCATACGATAACATCACCCCTGAAAGTAATTGTTTCTAATAATTCCTTGCCACCCAGTATGTTTTACTAAAGATCCATTTGGTGTCATTTGCAGACCTCCTCTCTCCAATGTCCATTTTCTTCCTAAAGAATTGTTAATTTTGAAAAAAGAATCTGTCCCAGTTAATATCAGCCCACTTCTTCTAATGTTTTGCTGTGTTTTTCTCTCTCTCAAAGAGCTCAACAATTGAATGGCATCATTTTCTTTTTTTCTGGACCCCCATTTGTTCTAGACTTAAATGAAGGAAATATGGCTGTGCTTCAGCATAGTTTATGGGGGCATTGCATTCTGGGGTCCTTGTGCTTCCAAGCCCCTGCCAGCACTGGCTATCAAAACTGCTTAGACTGCAAATAAAATATGGAATGAAATCCATCTGGCATTTCTCATTGAATTAGGACCAGAACATTTTCGTTAAATATTAACAGATGGTTAAATTCTTAATATCAAGCTAGCATTTGAAAACATCTAAGGGGACCCACATGAGGAAGAAAGGATAGAGGCCCATGTGTTTTCTCCATCGCTGAGCCCTCCTTCCTCCAGCCTTTCCCCCCCTCTTTCCTTCGAACATGTGTTGAGAATCGTTGGAGACTCTTATCTCAGATAACTTCTCTCCTTTGGTACCTGATGTCAAAATAGTGTGTGACGGTATCAAAATATTGTAATCAAATGTTGGCCAGCTCAGGTGAAATGTCACCATTGACATGCTTCAAGATCTTTTATTAAAGTGCTCTCTCCTCTCTCCCCCCCACCCCTCTCTCAATAGGAAAAAGAAAAGAAGTATATGCTTCCCTTGGACAACCTGAAAGTTAGAGATGTGGAAAAAAGCTTTATGTCCAGCAAGCACATCTTTGCCATCTTTAACACAGAACAAAGGTAAGAAAATGGAGCAGCTCTGTCTGCAGGTTCCCCACCCCCACCCCCTTGAATTTCTACATGACCCAGAGATCATATTTGCCATAGTTCCTTTGGCCCCACCTTGAAATTTGTTAACTTATCCGTTTTGCCTTCCTTTATTTTGTAGTTTTTAGCTTCCGCCATAGGTTATGGATTCTAAAGATGAAAAATTAGAGTAAGAAGGATATTCAAATATTAGTTTATTTCCTGCTTTGCCAAGAGCCACTCCCATGATGCTGCTCCCATTCTTAAACTACATTTTATTACTTTAATGTCTTTCTTACCCTGAATTTATTGTTTACTTTAAGATTACATAGCCATAATTTTAATGATATTTGTCTGACATAGTTGGATGTCACTTAAGACCTTTTCCTATATATTACAACTAGATTCTTGCATTGGTGAATAGAATTATCCAGTTAACATGAATACATCATACTTTACAGTTTTTCCAAACACATCTTATTGTCTGTTTTGTGTGTTTTTCTGACAATTGCCCATGAGGTTAAAAGATAGAGTAGTATGGTTACCATTTTATAAATTAGAAAATGTAGCTCAGAGAGGGTAAGTGACTTTCTTAAGATCACAGAATTAGAGCATTGGAAAACTTAAACCTGAATCTATCTTGTCTAAGTATATATTTTTCTTCCTTTCTTCCTTCCTTCTTTCCTTCTTTCCTTCCTTCCTTCCTTCCCTCCTTTTTTCCTTCCTTCTTTCCTTCCTCCCTTCCCTCCCTCCTTTTTTCTTTCTTCCTTCCTTCCTTCCTTCCTTCCTTCCTTCCTTCCTTCCTTCCTTCCTTCCTTCCTTCCTTCCTTCCTTCCTTCCTTCCTTCCTTTTTCTTTTCATTTTCTTTCTTTTCTTTCTGCCACTCACCTACAATATCAAAACTTAATTTGGGGCTGATTATCCCAGAGTGCCATGGTTGTTCACTGAAATAAATTAAGAGGTAAAGTTAAATAAACAAATGGAGAGGTAATGGAGGACAAGGCAGAAAGGTGTAAAAGGACTGTTACTACTAGGCAAGGAGAACATGGGAGATCTTTTCCAAATGGAAATGCTATAGGAAAAAGCTAATTAATTTCTATGACTCAGTTATTAAGAAACGGAGTCATCAGCTGTGAGGTCTAGTTTTAACTCATCTTTTCAGGCCTTTTATCTTTATTTAGCAATGAATGAAGTTCCTTGGTTAGGTTCAGTGACTGGCCCAGGGTCAATCACACAGTGAATCAAAATAGCAAAAAGAGCCTTTTCTCTACATTCCCAGTCAGTTGCTCAGAGTGACTCATACAAAAATACTTACAAAAACCACAAGAGCAAGGCATTTAAAGAATCAAGGGAACAGCAAATTAGATATAACTCCCCTATCAAATACTGAGATGGGATTGTTTTTTTAAAAGACTTAAGAAAAAAAATAAAACATTAATAATAGAAAGAATAAAAAGAGAAAAAAATAAAATGTTAGTAATAGAAAGAATGAAAAGGTTTCCTGGAGAGAGCAGTAGCATGTCTTCATACTGGGACCACACTCAGTGACTTTCCTCAGAGCAGTGGGAAAGTGGGTGGTCCTAAAAGAATCATTGGGGTTCTCAGCCTTCTGGCCTGGATGCAGAATGGGAAGTGTAACTACCACACAGGAGTAAACTACAATCAGGTCCTTGGGCTATCTGGAAAGTTTAGGTTCTAAATGGGCTTGGTCCTTGGCTGGTATTGCTCAGTGGGGTCTCAGATTTGATTCAGTTTTAAGCTCAGTGGGGTCACAGGTTTGAGTGAAGGGCATGTACCCGGATTGCAGGTTTGACCCTCAGCCCATCAGCGGAAAGTGACCAATTGGTGTGTCTCTCTCACATCAATATCCCCAGCCTTCTCTTTCCATCCCTCCCTTTCTCCCCATCTATTCTCTCTAAAAATCAATGGAAAAAAATATCCTCAGGTGAGGATTAACAACAACAAATACTGATAATATAGCTGTCTCAAAATAAAAGGGCTTGATACAAAGTAAAAAAAAAAAAATCAGCATCTTTTTAGATGAAATATAACTGTGGATTTTAAAGAGAACAAAAGACACCAAAATAAGGAACCTCTATAAACTTAAGATAAAAATAAGGTATACTAGAATACTAGTTCTCAGCAGGCATTGAACTCTTCAGCTACTTCTCAGAAACTCCAGAGTGCAAGGTTGTCCCGTCTACAGTCACTTTTACCAATGTCTTTTTCTCTGAAATTGTAATTAGTTTTCCATTAATTCTGTACTGGTGAGGACCTCTCAAAAGTACAGTGTCGAATATAATGGGGGATCCTTGTCTTATTTATATTTTAAGGAGAATTATTTCATAACTATAATACTGTATATCAATCAGGCAGCTGTTATGTGCTAGGTACTGCTCTGTGTTCTTAAAATACATCTGTGAATAATAGGGACAAAAAAGATGACACATTTTAGATTACTTTCTAGACAGGGAAGTCGACAGGGAGACAGACCAACACCATAAAGAATCTCACTTGCTTGGCCAGTATGGCTTAGTGGTTGAGTGTCAACCTATGAACCAAGAGGTCACAGTTTGATTCCTGGTCAAGGCATGTGCCCTGGTTGCAGGCTCCATCCACAGTAGGGGACGTGCAGGAGTCAGCCAGTCAATGATTCTCTCTCATTGATGTTTCTGTCCCACTTTCATCCTCACTGAAATGGATAAAAAAAAAAAATCTATAATAAAAGCATAATATGCTAATTAGACCAGATGACCTTCCAGACAACCTTCTGAATGAAGCCAGGGCTACAAGGAAAGCCCGGGTCCCAGGTGCCAGAGGGAAGCCGGTGCCGGCAGCTGGGGGAAGGAAGGCCTACCTTTGCATGAATTTCCTGCATCGGGCCCGTAGTGTATAATATATATATTTAAAATCTCACTTTATCGGAGGGGTGTGAAAATCTCACTTTATGATTGTGAGCTTTATTATTCAAGGAAGTCTGTCAATTTTATCTATATTTATTTTGAGGTCAATCTGTTACTAGATTCTTACAAGCTTAGAATTGCTTCTTCCTGGTGACTTTCTTTTAATAATTTTGTGGCAACTGCTTTTATTTCTAACAATGATCTTTACCTTAAAATTAACTTTGTCTGATCATAATATAGTTACACTACCTTTCTTTTGGTTAATATTTGCTTGGTTTATTATTTTTACTTTGTTTGGTCATCAGTCTTTCTGGGTTTTTTTTTTTTTATTGTGTTTTTCCTATAGCTCATAGCTGGATTTGTTTGTTTCTTTTATTTAATGTGAGAGCCTTTTCTTTTAACTGGTGAGTTTAGCCCATTTATATTTATTATTATCATTACTGATTATTTGAATTTATTTGAACATCTTATTTTAGTCTTTTTCATTAACCTACCTTTTCTATACTTCTTTTTCTCCATCTTTGCTGACTTATTTTCCTTTTACTTAAGTTAATTAATTTTTTCCCTTGGCTTAGAAATTATATACTTTATTTTTAATCTTTTATATGATAATTCCTTTATCATTTTTTACTTGAAGTTAGTCATTCTAGTCTTTTTTCAATGACCTTAAAACACTTTTACTCTACTAATCTCTCCTGATTTCCATATTATTATTCCCCAATATTTGAGTCCCACCTCACTTTTTTACTACTTTATTCCATATTATAATGGTTTATATGGATAGTGATTGTTCTGATTTATCAACTTGTTTTTCAGTTTTTTTGTTCACATTCTTTCTGCATTTTTTCTGTGTTTAATTTTGGTGCATTCTCCTTCACACTAAAGTACACTTGTTAGGAATCCCTTCTGTGGCATATTTAATTGTTTGGTGTTTGTTTTCCTGAAAATGTTTTATTTTGTCCTCATTATTGAATAATACTTCAGTTGATATTAAATTATAGGACGATGGTTCTTTTATCTAATACTTTGAAGTCATTATTTCCCAACATTCTGGCTTCTGTTCTGTTTTTTTCGAGACGTTAGCTGACAGTTAATTATTACTTCTTTTAATAGATCATCTGTTTTTCCTCACTGGTTGAATTTAAGAGCTTTTTTGTCTTTAGTATACTGATGTTTCAATACAGTGTGTGTTTTGCTTTATATTTCCTGGTTGGGATTCATTGTGTTTCCTAAATCTGAGGATTCATGATTTTAATGGAGTCTGAAAAAAATCTATATCATCTCTTTAACTTTTATTTCATCTCTGTTCTTTCTTGTTTCTCTGTCTAGAATTCCTGTTAGACATGTACTCATCCATTTTTATCCTGTTCTTCATATGTTTTACTCTCTATTTTGTACATATCTCCTTGTTTCTCATTTTGGGTCACATTTTTAGCTTTGTCTTCCCATTCTCTACTACTAGTACTCTCTTTACCTTTGACTGGGCCAAAACAAATTTGCCTGTCATCTTTGAGGTATAAGATGACAGTAGACAAATTATTTTTGCCAGTGGACAAATTATTTTTTCTATTTCAATATTATTTTTCTGAGGACATGGCTTTTGGAGAGTCCTGACTCTCACATAACCCCTAAGATCTTGTTTTCTATTCTTTTGTAGCCACTAAGATCCAAGCCTTTTAGTTTCTAAAACTGACACCATACGGTTGCAGAGAGACAAAAGATGTATTTCTTATCTTTATCTCTTGCTTTCTTTCTCTTAAATATTTTTTCCCCCATTTCAGAGAGAACCTATTAAAATAATGTTTTTCAGCATTTTAGATGTCCTGTAGGAAAGAGTTGCCATTTTGGTTGAAATGAAATATTCTCTCATTATGATTAGGTCGTTGAAACACAACACAATGTTCCCCTTAGAAATAAGGGTTGTGATCAGAGTGAACCTGAATGTCAGCTGGTTTGTGTTTGCAAACATAAGCACTTTATAAAGCAGTTAGAGAAAACAGCTATCGTTATCCTGTTCTCTAATTCTTTAATTCAAAGCTTTTTATTCTGTTAATAATTTCAGTGTATTTATTAGATATTTCTGTATTAGCA